GGTACACGTGTGGAACACTCATTTGTGGTGTGAGCATGTGGATGGAAAATCACACTCTTTCTGTGCTTAATTTTGTCAATTAGACATTCTATTAGCAAGAAGTAAATTAAATCAATTATTAAAATATGAATAGGACTACGGAGGTGAGCAGAAGAATTGTAGTTGTTTGATATAGAGAATCAATGACAAAGAAATCTGGCAGCAAACCCCTAACACTACCGGTTACAGACCTGTACGTTTCTCTATTGACTATGCTTCTCTCCTTGAATCAGTCAGGATCCCATATTGCAACCAGCTCCAATCCAGGAGGCCGTGCTTCCCAACCTGTTCTCTGTGGCCTGAGTAAGCATTCGGGCATGATCCCAAGCCTTGATCCCTGTACCCATGTGGCAGACTCAGAAGAGGCTCAGGAGCCTTGACTTCTGATTGGCTCAGCTCTGAGAGTAGCAGCTGCTAGGTAAGTGAATCAACAGTTAGTCTCTTTTTTTTTTTTTCTTTTACCTATATAACTTGTAGTTGTTGTAAAAGCAGATTATACAGAATAGAGGCAGAGAGAATAATCTTCCCCCTGCTGGCCTCCCAATAAATGCTCACATTCATAACAGGTGTTATGATCCACCTTGAAGACTCATAAGAAGCTCCTGGCTCGTGATTTCAGATTGACACAGCTCTGACAAGTGCACTCACCCGGGGAGTGAAACAGTGGACAGATGATCTTCGTCTCTATCTTTCCTCCCTATCTCTATACGTTGGACTTTAAAATATGAATACAGAAATCTTAAAAAAAAAAATGGAATCTTCTGCATTCAGATCGACTCAATTTGGGGTGTTAAGGTCATTTGGAAACATAAAGCAGAAGGTAGAATGTCCTTTCTCTCTGTCTCTCCTTCGCTATAAAATTCCATTCTAACAATATTTCTTACAAATATAATATTTAAAAAGATGCAATCACACAGAATTTTTTCTCTGTTTATGGAGTACCTGATCTTTGCCACTTAATTTCAAACAGCTCTCAGAGTTTGACTTTAAGTTGATTCTTTTTCCCAAAAGCCCTGCTGAGATTACGAAGGGTGGAAGAAAGTAATTTCCATTTTTCTTATGTTCTAAGCAGTAAATGTACACTAAGAAATATCACAACACACACACACAGTCATACACAAACAGACACACAAACACATACTACATTGAGACTCTTGCAGTTTTCCTATGATTCTCTTCCTCTTTGCACTAATTCTCTCACCTGATTTTACCAGTTTAGGATTCTGGAATGTATGTGTTCTGATGGAGTGTTACCCCATGCTGTTCATATTAGCCATGAACTCAAGCATTTTGTCAGCTGAGTCCCATTCTCCTTGAGTGAAATGTTTGTATTCTAACGCTGGAAGGTTGGATCCAGGACAATTCAAGACCACAGAGATTCCCAGATAATCGACAAATGTCTCATCTGGAAGCATCCTGCTCTGCACAAATTGAGGGATCTTACGACTGGGACTCTTTCTCCTATGGTTCTCCTAGTGATAGATTTCCCCAGTATCTCAGAGACTGACGCTCTCCTCTCTCTGTCCCAGTGTTCACTGTACAACGAAGGAGGCTGTGAGGTATTGGAGACTCCTAACACAGGAAATCAAACCCTGGCATGACAGACCCCATATTGCTCCCTGGGAATGTACTCGATAATATCGAGCAGATCTCACTTCGCTTCCAAAATGTATGTGTGCGTGTGTGTGTGTTTGCCTGTGTGTTTGTGTAACTCTAACTGTTTCAAATAAGAAATTAGAAACTTTGAAAAAACTGGCAGCTATCTTTCATTTATATTTTGTCATCTCTGTCATTTCAAATTCCATTGCTGCTGTCATATTTCTTGAGGTAAGACTATTATCTTCTCCTTCTCTGTTAGTTCATGGTATTTGTAATATTACAGTAATCTCTCATTCTAGTGCACTTGTTCTGTGCTAAATGTTTGATATCAAGAGAAAATATCCCAGGGGCCTGGCCACCAGCTAAATTTCTGGCCGTCAATGCACAAGGATCCCTATGGGCGCCAGTTCTAATCCTGGCAGCTCCAATTTCAATCCAGCTCCCTGCTTGTGACCTGGGAAAGCTGTCAAGGATGGCCAAAATCTTTGATATCCTACACCCACGTGGGAGACCCGGAAGAAATTCCTGGTTCCCAGCTTCAGATGGGCGCAGCACCTGCTGTTGCGCTCACTTATGGAGTAATTCATCCGATATAAGATCTTCCTCTCTGTCTCTCCTCTCTGTATATCTGACTTTGTAATAACAATAAATAAATTAAAAACAAAAAAGAGAGAGAGGACAGTCTGAGAGCAACATCTTCTGTCTGCTGATTCACTCCCAAGTTGCTGCAAAAGGCCAGAACTGAGCAGTCCGAAGCCAGAAACCAGGAAGCTCTTAGCAATATGGCAGGGACAATATCAATCCTTATCATTTCTTCATTAGGAAAGAATTATTTCATTAATTTGCAAGGCTGAGTGGCACACAGAAAGGAATTCAGAGACAGACATACAGACAGAATCTTCCATGTGGGGTCCTTACTAAAATGACCTGAGGAGTTAGGGCTTAGGTCAGGCTGAAAGCAGATTTCTGACAATCCACTCAGATTTCCAACATGGGTGCCAAGGGCTGCACTGACTGGATCCTTGTCTGCTGCTTTTCCAGATGTACCCTTTTCAGATCTCAGTGAAAAGTTCCTCTGGAAACACTGCTGCAGTATCTCTACAACCCCACTTTTCCCAACAAAACCAATTTACATGAGCCCATCAGTGAGCCCAACCCCTGTTTAATGTGCCTTCTAATTCCAATCACCTGTTCAAACTTGTCTCTGTGATCCCATCATGCACTTGTGATTTCTGCTGACATCAGAGGCTCCCATGATTGGGTGGGTGTGGCTTAAGGGCAGGTGGACCCTACAAGAGCAGACTTTCCCAGAGCCTTCTCAGCCAACAGCCACTGTCTTCACAGGCAGCAGCACCGCGTCACAGACCTGAAGCCGACTGTGACCACTGACCTTTCTGGACACGTCTGAGGTTCCCAGAGCTGCGACCACTGATAGCAGACACAGGTGAGCATGGAATTTAGGGGAAGGTCAACCTGCACGTTTTGTCTTAGCAGCCTATTTTTAGCTTAGCGGTCAGTTCATGCGGGTCTCATTTGAGCAAACAAGTGGCATTCCCATTTGTTTAAAGTAATAGCCAGGCTTATGTATTGGGTCAGCCGGCTCAACCTCTGCCTGCAGGTGCCATGGTCCCATGTGGGTGCAGATTTTGTGTTGCATGTGCTCTAGTTCAGTGCTGCTCCCTGCTTATGCTTAGGAGCAGGTGGAGGATGGCCTGGTGCCTACATGATCCACAGCATCCTTGTGGTAACCAGAAGATGACTGCACCTGGTGTCAGGTTGACTTGGCCTCAACCTCGTTGCCTTTCTGTGTGTGGCCAAGATAAAGGTGGAGGTTTCCGTCTGTCTCTGTTTCACTCTATGGCTATGGCTTTCCAATAAATGTGAATAAATGCTGTTTTCAGCGTGGCGGTATAAGTGCAATGTCTTTGATGGAATGTGCTGGATTCCCATATGGGTGTCAGTTCTAATTCTAGTGGCCCTGCTTCCCATCCAGCTCCCTGCTTGTGGCCTGGGAAAGCAGTTGAGGACAGCCCAATGCTCAGGACCCTGCACCCGCAAGGGAGACCCAGAAGAATCTCCTTGCTTCTGGTTTCGGATCGACCCAGATCCAACAGTTCTGGTCACTTGGGGAGTGAATCATAGGACGAAAGATCTTCCTCTCTGTCTCTCCTCCTCTTTGCAACAAGTATAAATAAATAAAGAAATCTTTGAAATAAATGAATTATGGGCTCAATGTGATAGCCTAGTGCTTAAAGTCCTTGCTTTGCATGTGCCGAGATTCCATGTGGACACCAGGTTGTACCCGGTTTGGCACTCTGCTTCCATCACCGTTCCCGTGGTTGGGGAAAGTCAATGAGGCCTGTCCAAAACCTGGGGACACTGCATCTGCATAGCAGAACCAGAAGAGGCTACTGGCTCCTGCCTTCAAATTAGCTTAGCTCTAGCCCTTGTGGTTCTTGGGGGAGGTAACCAGAAGATGGAAGATCTTTCCTTCTATTTCTGCTTTTCTCTAAATCTGACACTCCAATGAAACTCAGTACATCTTAAAAACACCGCAGCCACTCATCAGAGACCTGAAGGAGACTGTGACCACGGACTTTCAGGGACCTATCTGGACCTCCCAGAGATGAAACCACTGATACGAGGCACAGGTGAGGGTGAAGAAGACACCTGTTCCTGTCTTCAGTTGCTCTTGGCTTCAACCTTGTTGTTTACAGATTTTTTGTTTTGTTTTGCTTTTATTTTTTAAGATATAGTGTTTTTTATTGCAAAATCATATATATATATATATGTGTATATATATAGAGAGAGAGAGAGAAAGAGAGAGAAAGAGAGAGAGAGAGACAGAAAGGGAGAGAAAGAGAGAGATCTTCCATCTTGGGAGTCACTCACTAAGCCAATACATCTGCTAGAGCTGAGCCAATCATAAGCCAAGGCCCCTGATCCTCTTCTGAGTCTGCCACATGGGTGCAGGGATCAAGACTTGGGTTGTCCCCAAATGCTTTTCCAGACCACAGGCAGAGAACAGGTTGGGAAGCAAGGCCTCCTGGATGAGAGCAGGTGCCAATATGGGATCCCGACTTGTTCAAGGAAAGGCCTTTAAGCAATAAGCTTCCTTGTTGGCCCTCCTAAGGAAATTTGTAATGTACTTGAAACAAAGCTGATACTTGCTTAACTGATATTTCATTAGCTTATAGATGCAGCTTGACTGTGCTTCTTAAATTGAACTTTATATGGGGCTGACTTAATAATGAGGATCCCCAGAGCCTAAGTAGGACAGAGCTGCACACTCATCTTTGCTTTGTTGCCTCAGGAAATAATTACCACAATTCTCTCTAATTTTACAGTGTCTGCAGTGAATCATGGATCCATTCATGTTACAAGAGTTCCAGAGCAATGTCACATGCAGCATTTGCTGCCAGTATTTCCTGGATCCTGTCACATTGGAGTGTGGCCACAGCTTTTGCCGACCCTGCGTCTACCTGAGCTGGGAAGAAGGCTCATCGCCACTCTGCTGCCCAGAGTGTAGGCAGAAGTCAGAGAAGACAAACTTCAAAACCAACATAAGACTTCAGAAACTGGCTAATGCTGCCAGGATGGACAGAATGAGCCAGGTCCCCAGCTCACATGGGCAGGTCTGTGGTGCACACAGCGACGCCACAGGACTACTGGGTGACTTGGACAAGAATCTGTGCTGTGATTCTGCCTCTGAATCTTTCAAAGCCAACGGACATGGCCACAGCCAGCTGCAGTTTGCTGCTGAGGAATCCAGGGTGAGTGATATCTAACAGCTGGGCAGGTTCTCAGAGACCTCAAGTTGGAGAAAAAGATGTGGACTTAGGCTCATGGGTAGGTGAGAAAGACATTGTAGAGGTGGTCTCTTCACTATATATCCCAAGAGGCTTGTAGGTCCTTCAATGCTGTGCTTATGTTGATCAAGCCTCAGAGCTGGGCTGATGTATCTTGAAGAAGAGTCTAGTTGGAAACAGTGTTTATGCACCCTCAGTCAGTGTTGATACAACCAGTGGTCTGCAACAGTGAGTGTTTCAACGCCAGTCACATACCACAGTTTTCTCCATGAATGTTGTGTACAACCCTCAGGCTTTCTACAGACAGTCCATTGTAATCTTCTGTCATGTCCGTTGTCCTAGATATCATATGCAAAATAGGTTACTGTGTGACAATATGAAGATTTGTTCTACATGAAACCAATAACAAAACAATAAAAAGGAAAGGAAAACAAAGGAATGGGACAGAAAGGGAGGGGAGGGCAAGGCAAGGCAGGGAAAGGAAAAGGAAATGAAGAAAATGCCCGAACCCCTGCCAAGTCCCATTCATCAGGGAGGAAAAGTAGACACTACCTCACCTCATTGTTTCTTAACCCTAAAATTATTTTACAGGGAACACTTCTGAAGGAAATGAGTGCTTTATGGGAACTGATGCAGGAAGTGAAAATCTGTGTGCCCAAGCAAAAAAGGAAGAAGCATTCATTTATGGTAAGAATGAAAAGATTGGATACAAAGAACATAACTCCTTACACCTTTGAGCAATTTCCACTTCCTCTTCAAGGATAGTGATTTCCTCACACCCAAAGCAGAGTGTTCCAACGATAACTCTCTCACTAGCTGAAAGAGCTGGTGAGAAGGATACTAGAGGAAATCATCATCCCAGCTATTGCTGGTCCAACTTAGAAGTGTTACACAAATCTTCTCAGACACACAAGTACTAAAATACCAAAAGAGAAATACATAGTACCAGTATGGAAAATAGAATAATTGCACAAATATCTGTGTGCTGTGTAATGTTTACGCATCAAAAGAAAAAAAGATAAAGGCCAGGAAGCAAAAGATATAGAAATGAATAGAATTAGTGATACAATTAGAGCATTGATGAAGAAGAGGGTGAGAGATGAGATGGAAAGTGAGACAGATATCTAGAGAGAGACCCTGAGTTCCTTCTGGAGTATATTTGAAGAGAAAAGACTAGAAGTGTGCAGAGGCATTCGTAGCACCCCACAACACCTAAGAAATGGTGTACTAACTCAGCATGAAGTTGGTAAAGTGTTCCTTGAGAGTTTTTCAGTATTTGAAGATACATGTGACAGAGAGGGAGAAATACAAGCAGATATGTTCCATGTGCTGGTTCTCTTCCCAAGTGGCAGGAAGAGCCATGGCAATGTTGGGCTGAATGAGGCAGCCTCTCCCTGCACCTGCAGCCCTCATGTGAGCCATCAAAGGCACAAGCCCTTAGGCCATCCATGCTGTCTTAGCACATTAGAATGAGCAAGAGGTGAAGCAGAGAGGCTGCAACAGGTGCTCCTAGGGAAGGTAGGGTCAACTCAGCCAATGATATGAGATGTTTCAAACTCCTGTTAAGTGTGAAGCTATGCAATTCTCATGAGCTAATATCTCTCTACAGGAGTATGTGTCCCTAAGGGAGGAGATGATCAAGGCACAGTATCAGAAGATGCATATGCTTCTTCATGAGGAAGAAGAGCTGCACCTGCAGAGACTGCACAGCGAAGCACGGGAGCTTTTGCAGCAGTTCCAGGACCATGAATCGAGCATGACCCAACACATACATTGCGTGAAAGAAAAATACAAAGAGCTGGTTGAGATGTGCCACAAGCCTGACATGGAGTTACTGCAGGTGAGCAGGGAAGGGCCACGTTCAGAGACATGTGTGCTTCTCTGAGCAGGTGGTCAGGACACTAAAATGTTAACTGCACCTATAGCTACTCTCAGCTGCATGACACGTGTGTAATGAATGACTCAAAGATTTGATTACCCGAACACTTAATTCTGCATGGGCAGAAAACCTTTTCTGTGTCTTTGTGATAATACATCGGATAAAATTCTCTACCTGTAATCAAAAATGCTGCTCCCAGAAAGAGTCATACAGAAACGTAATCATGACAGTGTAACATGTTTCTTATCCATTCTGAAAATCAGCAAGCTTCCTGTGTTGAGCAGGATCAGCCATCAAAAGCTGAAAGGATAAGGAATGCATTTTCTCTAAGGAAACTGCAGCCAGGACTCAAGAATATACTGATATTTAAAAGACTAATTTACACGACTCTGGACAATGCTATAAATTTGTAATTGGCTACCTAAAAAAGTATCCCCACTGCCTGCCTTTTGAGAAGAACACTCTGATCTTTAATCTAAAAGCAATTGGCTGAAGAACTTGGAGGCTTTGCCCTTTGCTTGGGCAGGATCAGTCACCCATTGTAATGCACTCTGCTTTTCAGACAGCTCTCTTCTCTGCTTAGCACTGTAGTCAGAAGTGCTCAGCTCTCTCTAGGAATGATAGCTGGGACTTGATCTTCAGCCTACATCCTGTGGCATCTCTTCACAGCTTCATGCTGAGGTCCACCTATTTTGGGCTCACACTGGAATTCCTTCATGAGGTAGCTCAGGTTCTGTTACTTGCTGATGTTGATAATTCTTAGTAATTAAAGCAAACCACATTCACAGAAATGATGAGTTTTCCCCAAAAGTTCAATGAAAAACTTCTCCGAGTTAACCGCTTTTTTGTCTTTTTTTTTTTTTCTTTCAGAATGTGAAGATGGAATTGGAAAGGTGAGTGTAGAGCAACCATCTCTGATGGGTGAGAAATTGTGTCCCTGATGATGAGTCAGGTGTTTGTAATTTGCTCTATTAACACAGTTCTGTCAGTCTGTGTCCCCATTTAGTGGAGCAGGGGTTCTCAGCACTTTTCTCCTTGGTTTAAGTAAGTTTAGAAGTGGCTGACTTCAAATGTGTGAATGTATGCTTCTGCTTTCTGGAGTCTGCTTCACCCTGTCTGTCCTCTCTGCTCCTTCTACTACCTCAGTATCTCAAGAAACCAAGTGGTGGGAAAGTAATATGAGCACAGGAAAGAGGAGGATTCCTCAGGCTGGGAAGAGAAGGGAGGCTTTGCTCTTGGAAGTAGCAGTGAGCAGGCCTTGCTCTCTCCTAGAATTTCCCATTTTCAGAGCGGATCAGGGGGATCCTCTGACTCAGCTTCCCCAGGACCAGGGCTGCCATGCTGGAATTGCTTTTCCTTGTGTGGCAGACATGCCCCAAGCCTCCTGGCTCCGAGGATGTGTCACTGATGTGCTGTTGGGGATGACTGCTAGTAGATTGCCTATAGATTATTGCTCATGATCTTGGCTATATACAATTGCCAGAACTCGGGGGCCAGTTCTGCGGCCTAGCCTCTAAAGACCTTGCCTTGAACATGCCGGGATCCCATATGGGCTCTGGTTGCTATCCCGGCAGCTCCACTTCCCAGCCAACTTTCTGCTTGTGGCTTGGGAAGGCAGTCGAGGACAGCCCAAAACCTTGTGCCCCTGTACCCATGTAGGAAACCTGGAGGAAGTTCTTGGCTCCTGGCTTGGCATAGGTGCAGCACGAGCCATTGCGGCGACTTGGAGAGTGAATCTTCGGAAGGAAAATCTTCCTCTCTGTCCCTCCTTCTCTCTGTACATTTGGCTTTGTAATAAAAAAAATCAATAATAAAAAAAAAAAAAAGAAAAGATTGCCAGAAATCAGAACTCTACTTTCCCTGAAATAGAGGATACTGGTAGAATCAGCATGGTGGCCAATATTTTAGGGATACAAACATCTTAGAAGATGAGGCAATTCGATGTGATGTGATATTCAGAATGATTATCCATTTATCACAATGAAGTAGTGAGTGAAATTTATCTTCAAAACCCTGCTAAATTAAGACTCTCAAGCAACATTGCTTGTGTACACTGTAGAAGTCTTTGTGACTGCGTGATTGCCCTTGCCTGAAGTGTCATGTGTTGTTCCTCACAGAGCAGAGCTCATACGGAGATACAGGCCCCAGCCAGTGGACCCTGTACTGACTTCTTGGAGCATCAGTGGACTTCAACAGATGCTGAATAATTTCAGAGGTAAGCATCAGCCTGCATCAGTCTAGCTCTCATTGCCTTCTTCAGTGTGTGGGACATGAGCCCTTTCCCAGATTAGTCCATGTTGCGCACCTGGAAACACAATAGGGTTTACTAAAATGCTATCTTTGCCCTTTGCTGAATCACTTTACTACAGTGATCCAAACTGAGCTTTGTAATGAAGCTTTTCATCAGGCAGAAGATCTTGGGTTCAGCGGCAGGGAGCTGGATTGCAAATGCATCTGACTGGAAACAAACCGGCTCCCATGAGGGATATCAGCTCCTGTAGTAATTATTTTGATCTTCATTTTCACTGTAATTTAAATGACTTTTCCAGGCCATGAAGTCCACAATCTTAGTAGCATGACAGCAACCTGAACTTGTCCCTTGTCATTTTTGTCCATATCCTGTTTCTTGCTAGGAGGACACCTGAGGTGATTCTATACATAGAAAGAGAGAAAGAAAGATACATAGATCTGATTTTAGAACCTGAAAATGGTAATTCATCGACTAGTTTTTGTTCGCTTCTTTTTTGCAGTGTCTAATGGTTTGGAAAAGAATGTGGCGAGTCACTACATATGCCTTTCTGAGGATCTCAGCTCTGAAATATTTGGAGAACACCATGATGCTCCCAGTCAAGGCCCAAGAGCACAGAGTTTTGTTGCGTGGGGTGCACCGACCTTCCGCTCTGGCAGGCATTACTTCGAGGTGGATGTATCGCACTCCTCCAACTGGATTCTAGGACTCTGTAGTGATTCCAGCATAGATGACCCCGATACCTTTATTGACACAGAGGGTGCATTTTTCCTTTATTCCATGAAGTGTGGTGATGGTCACATGCTCTGCACCAGAAATCCAAGACTACATCACTATGTGGAGAGGCCTGTGGGTCTGGTTGGGGTGTTTCTTGATTGTGAATATGGAATGGTGAGCTTCTATGATGTTTCCCAAAGCTCCCTCATACATTGTTTCCCTCCAAACTTATTCTCCTACCCTCTGAAGCCCTTCCTTTGCATGGGTACTCCATAAATTGTCACATTTTATAATTGTTTTAGTTAACTGTCAGGGTGGATAGTCTAACAGTGTTAAAATGTTTCTGATGGGAGACATCACAGTCTTTGTATGCCTTGTATCTAAGGGAAGGTAGATTAATTGTAATCACTATATGTTGCTAAATTGGACAACCACATTGAATGTATGAAACTTTATATGAAATTTAACTTTAATAAAGAATATTGCAACCAATGCTTGTCTGATTCTAGTACCTGTTCAGCATCCCCTATAGAATTACAACCCCCATTGATGAGCCAACAATTCTTAAAGGTCTCATGTTCAGGTGCTTTTGTCAAGAAATTGAGCCATCCTCCAATATTTTGCTAGACCTTTTCAATAAAAATAATTAAAACCAAAAATATAAAAACATTCTGCATTTGTCAGAAGTGCATTCTCACGACAGAGTCACAAGGAGCACTTAGTGACTCTTGGTGCCTGTTTGAGATAAACTGAGAGGAACGATTGGTGCTACCTATAAAAAATGCAAGTGTGCATGTATGTGAGACTTGTGGTCACAGTCCAGTTAAAATTCATGTGAAAAAGCAGGAGAATACACTACATATAAGTATATGTTTTTTGGATAATAAACGTAAGAAAAGAACGGAATAAACAGGAATGTGTGAAATGAAAGACCCTCTTATACTCTTAGCAAGAAGACAAGAAGGAACATGTTTCCCCTCCCCCCCCTTTTTTTTTAAGATATCTTTACTATTTTTACAAAGGTGTGTATACAAAGAGAAGGAGAGACAAAGAATATCTTCCATCCAATGTGGCCTCAACGGCCTGACATGAGCCGATCTGAGGTCAGGACTTGGAGCCTCCCCCATTTCTGACACGCAGGTGCAGGTCCCAAGCTTTGAGCTGTCCTTGACTGCCTTCCCAGCCCACAAGCAGGGAGCTGGATGGGAAGAGGGGTCACCAGGATCAGAACCAGTGCCTATATGGGATCCTGTTGCAGGCAAGAGATGCCGCTTGCCTACTTAGCAAAATAATTCCAATTTCTACCCCTCCCATCTGTTAAAAATTTTGTCTTGGTCTACGCATTGGGGTTAACATGGTGATTACTTTAATTTGACCACCTCAGTGCTTAAGTGTTTCTATGCACTAGGATTCAGCAAACTGTAGTCAGATGCATAAAATATTTTGTTTGCTTTTATAATTCCGTGTTTATATTTCACACATTTGTTTATACGTGTTTCATGGGAGTTGGCTGGGTAATTTGCTAGAAAATTTTTTTTAAACACATTCATTTATTACCACGGCAGATGTAAAAAACGAGGCTGCCACATAGACCTCCACTCTGTTTTATTCCTCAGATGCCCAGCAACCTGGGCTGTATCTGAGTCTCTCACATTGGTGGTTTAAGCCCAGGCTCTTGGACCTTGTTCTGCTGTTTTCCCAGCCACATTCACAGGGAGTTGGATTGGAAGTGGAGCAATCTACCAACTGAGCCATCACTCCTGTGGGCAACTCTAGGAAGTAGCTTAACTCACTATGCCAGAATGCTACCCTAACACAAGATATTTTGTTTAAACATTTTATTTTATTTTTTATTGGAAAGGTTGATTTACAGAGAAGAGAGGCAGAAAGAAATATCTTCCATTCCCTGAGTCACTCCTGAAGTGGCTGCAATGTTCCCAGCTGAGCCAATCTGAAGCCTGGAACTAGGAGCTTCTTGTGTCTCCCACAAGGGGGCAGACTTCCAAAGCTATTGGTTACCTACAGCTGCTTTCCCAGGCCACAGCCAGGGAGCTGGAAGAAAAGTGCAACACTTGGGATGTGAACCTGCATCCACATAGAATCCTGGAGAAAGCAAGAGCAGGATTCAGCCACCAGGTTGTTTCTCTGCGCCCCTAACACGCACATTTCTATTTGCTGTAGATCTCTCCTTTTTCCTGGAATTCATTTTCTTACTTGCTATAGGCGTATCCTAATATACACCTAGAAAATGCATTAAATCTTTTGATAAAATGTCGTTGATTAGAAAGGCAGGATTAGAGGGAGAGAACAGGAGAGTGAGATCCACCACGGATTAGTGCACTGTCCAAATGCCTTCAAGAGCTGGGGCTGATCCAGGACAAGCCGGTAGCCCGGAGTTCTGTCAGCATTTCCCATGTAAGCCTCAGAGGTTCAAATGTTTGAACCGTCTTCTATGACTTTTTCAACTTCATAAATAGGAAGTCATATCAAAAGAATTGTAGTCACGTCTCAAAGAGACAGTCCAACATGGCATGTCACAGTGTGTCATGGTGCAGGAAAATACACTGTATGACGCTCAGTATTCAGCTTGACCTAAAGATACATTTCTTGGATCAGAACTGTTGCTCAGTGTCCCCTGCATCAATTTATATGGTTTAAAACAAGGACCTGCATTTGAGACAAATGCATCTTTTTATTAATCTTTTCTTTAATGATTTATTTTTTAAAGGTTTATTTTTTTATTTTCTTAAGATTTATTTTTATTATGTTTTTATTGGAAAGGCGTATATACAGAGAGGAGAGACAGAGAGGAAGATTTTCTGTCTGATGATTCACTCCCCAAGTGAGCACAACAGCCGATGCTATGCCGATCCGAAGCCAGGAGCCTCGTCCGGGTCTCCCACGCGGGTGCAGGGTCCCAAAGCCTTGGACCGTCCTCGACTGCTTTCCCGGGCCACAGGCAGGGAGCTGGAAGGGAAGCGGGGCTGCTGGGATAGAACCGGTGCCCATATGGGATCCCGGGTCTTAAAGGCGATGAATTCACTACTAGCCCACAGCGCCAGGCCCAACGATTAATTTTTTTTAATGTGACAATTAACGACTGTTCCAAACTTGTATGCTATATTATGTTTTTTTTTTGTTTTGTTTTGTTTTTTGCTATTATTTTGCTTTCTCTTCCTCGTGTGAGTCAATATAATGTTCATTGGAAAATAGTTTGTGGTCTTACACTCCCAGCAACCAAATGCAGCTCAGTTTTACTCTGTTCAGTAATATACTCTTGAAACCTGTAGCATCCTGGTACAAAAAAAAAACTGCATAATATTCAAAATTAGAAATTGTCTTAAAAATTTACTTCTCAGATCAAGACCTATGGTTCACAGAGCATTTAATGTAATAACTTAATATACAAATGAGGGCCCATATTACCAGCAAATGCATATTTTAAATGTATATTGGGGCAAGCGAACTTCAACTCACAAAAAGGAACAGAAATCAGGATGGAGCACATGTAATGCCGAACTAGGCTCTTACACCAACTGGTCTGCATGAGACAGAGCTACTACGCCACAGCATCGAAAGCAAATGCTGAGACAGGTGAGGGGCTAAGCCAACTGGGTCAGAGCAACCACTGGCACAGGTATGTAATCTAGGGCTGGGAATTGACTGGGTTGGGGAGCTGTGAGAGAACACCCTTGTTGGGTTGGGCTTCCCACAGGAGAGTGCAGAGGCCAGAGTAGGGGCTGCATTCTGGTCTGGATATGGCTGCAATCTCCCTTGTCACAAGTGTGGACTGGGGATGGGTGCACAGTGCTGCGCGAGATGCCAGCCCCGTCTGGTGCTCTGAAGAACCTGCATAAATGTTGGATTGACTAGGCTGGGTCTTGCCCCACCTGAGCCATGTGTGAGCAGTGTCTGGGTATGGACAAGCCTTGGCTGGGGTAAAACATCTAACACCAAGAACTAGAATGAATTGAATGCCAGCCTTGAGGGCTGGCCCATGTATCCACCAGTATGCACAAGACCTGGCATAGGGAGAGGTTCTGATGGAGGAGCTTGGGAAACTCCTCTGTCGGAACACAGTCCCTACAGGTGAGTGGAAGAACCATGATAGGGAGCAACCCGGATCAGAACAGAGGAAGATATCCAGCATCATACATATGGCATAGGTGGGGGGCAGACCAGGGTGAACCCATTTACATTGACCACTGGCAAATCCCAACACCATCATAGAGTGTAGGTAGGGCCAGCTTTGGTCAAACCACAAACTAGTGCACACAAAGGGATGCCAAGGTGGGAAGAGCCGTACCAGATGTGACTGCAGCTCCCAAACAGCACACGTGAGAACCATGGGGTGAGGGGGTAAAGCTGGCAGGGTGAATGTGGGCTCCCTGCTGGACAACCACTCCCACTATAGAACATGTGTTGGGATGGGGGCGGACCAGACCAGGCAGGGCTACAACCCCTGTGGTCCTCATGTGAGCTAGATCAGAGAAGGGCCAGGTTGGGCTGACTGTTCTGATTGGTGCAAGCAAAAATTAGAGTGGGTGAGGGTTGGTTGGCCTTTGCTGCAGCATCAGATGGCAGAGGCTGGCATTGTGGGCTTAATCTGTCTGTTAAACTCCAGAACCACCTGGAGAGTGCATCATCCGGGAGTGGGAGTGGCCTAGTAGGGAGATAGTGGGCACCTCCCTCTTGGGTTACCACTCCCACTGGAGAACACAAAAACCAGGACAGGGTAGAGGTGGCTAGACAGAAAGGCACCTAGGTTGCTCCTTATTGTGTCCATACCCAGACATTGCTCACACATGGCTCAGTAGGGTTAGAGACTCACCCACTGTGGGGGAATCCAGGATTGGATTCTAAGCACATCATTTGAATCTTTCCTGGATTTGACTTTTATGGCTATTTGCATGCTGCACCAGTCTGTGAGCAATATCTCTGTCTCTGCATATCTCTTTCTCTCTCTTTTTCTCTCCCACTCTATCTCTTCCTCTTTATCAAGCAAAGATTCAATTGATAAAATATAAATAAGATTGGAAGATATGTATTTTATAACAAACTTTTCTCTAAGAGACTTTGAGCATCCTCTAATTTTGCCATCCAGGACAAGTATAGAACCAAACTCCCCACAGATACTAAAGTGCACAAGACTTTCATATATACAGAATCAGCCAGGCCCAGCATGCTGGCCTAGCAGCTAAAGTCCTTGTCTTGAACGTGCCAGGAAACCATATGGGTACAGGTTCTAATTCCAGCAGCTGCACTTCCTATCCAGT